GGGGGGGTGGGGAGAGGGGTGGTGAGGGGGGAGGATGATGAGGCGGGGCAGGGGGATTTGAGGGGAGCGAGTAAGGACAATCAGGTGGAGTGAGGAGAGTGTTAATAGACAGAGCCTCGTTCTTGGTCTCTTGGAGCTGTCATTGCCGGTGTTGTCTTTACTGACCCGCCTGCACAGATCGGTGCCATTGTAATGAAGAGAAAATGCTTTATTTCTATGGCACCTTTACAACCGCAGGACATCCCAAAGAGTTCTACCACCGTCCCAGTGTTTATTTAAAGTCGCTATTATGTTGTAGGAAAGCAGCTGATGATAATTTGTGCACAGCAAGCTCCCACAAACACCATTGCAGTAATGTTATCCTGTTTTTTGAGCCATTAAGCGTAAACGTTCTCGAGGACTTAGGAAGTTTGCCCCTGTTCTTCGAATTAGTTCCACGAAATCTTTTATACACACATGACCTTGGTTTCTCATCTCTTCCAGTGCAGTAGTTAGCCTCAGTTTGTGCTGGAGTCCCTGTCTCTGAAGCTTGAACCCGCAGTCTTCTGAATTAGAGACAAGCTAGAACTGGTCTGCATACACTTGTGCTTTCCCCCCACATTTCAATGACATGCCCATGCACACAGTGTGACTCCTTCCTGCATCAGTTACAGAGCAAATAAATTGTTCATAGCCATTCATCAATTCTTGAATGTTAGTTAAATGCTGTTTTCCTCGTTCACAATATATTTTATAACCAATAAACAAAAGTGTTCAAAGAAAACCATTTAAAACAAACCTATAGAAGGCTGATCTGTTGACCGTAGTGGTACAGTGGGTAAAGGTGCACCCAAGACTGCCAGGGCAGGTGACATCTTTTCACGGACCTTCTGATCAAAACGAGCATAGAGGGTGTTGAGCTCGCTGGGGAGGGATGCATTGTTGTCAGCGATTCTACTCAACATCGCTTTGTAGCCTGAGCAAGTGGGGAATATGTCTGGGCAATAAATACTGGCTAACTAGAGATGCCCTCATCCTGTAAATGAATTTTAAAAAAAGGACTGAACAGCGGTAAATGAAATTCACTCAGGATAACTGTGAGGTGATACACTTGGGCAGGACAGACAAGGCAAGGGAATACATGAATGGTGGCACCCTGGGTAGCACCAAGGATGAGAGGGTCCTTGATAAGTATGTCCAAAGATCCCTTAACGTAGTGGGGCAGGTAGACAAAGTGGTAAAGAAGACATATGGGATACAGTTAGAGTAATGTGTGCAGTTCTGAAATTCATACTATAGGAGAGAGATGGCAGCACTGGAGAGAATATAGAGGAAATTTAGCAGGATGTTGCCTGGGCTGGAGAGTTTCAGTTATGAAGAGAAATTAGACTGGGTTTTTATCCCCCCTTGGCACAGAGAAATCTGAGGGAGTACATGATTGATGTGTAAAATTAGGAAGGGCATAGACGGAATAGACAAGAAGGATGGTAGAGCAGAAACCCTTGTAGCTTTGAAGAAGTATTTAGATGTGCACTTGCAATGCCAAGGTATACAAGGCTGTGGGCCAAGTGGTGGAAAATGGGGTTAGCATAGTTAGGTGGTTGTTTTTAACTGGCACAGACTCAGTGGGCCAAACAGCCTTATGAGGAAAGATTGGACAGTTTGGGCCTGTTTCTACTGAAGTTTAGAAGAGTGTGGGGTGACTTGATTGAAGTATATAAGATCCTGTATGGTCTTGACATGGTAGACATAGAAAGGTGAGTCCAGAACTAGAGCACTATTTGAAAATTAAGTGTAAACCTTATAGGATAGAGATGAAGAGAATTCCTTTTCTGAAGGTCGTGCAAGTTCGGAACTGCCTCAGAAGGCAGTGGAGGTGTGGGCATTGAATATTTTTAATGTGGAAATAGTTATAGTTTCTTTCTACACAAGGGAATCGGACGTTATCATGAGTAGATGGAAGTGTGGGATTCAAAACACCAGCAGATCAGCCATGGTCTCATTGAATGGGGAGAACATGCTTGAGGGGGCTGAATGGCCTAATTGCTCTTAATTCTTTTCTTAGATTTGCTCTGCTTGTTCCACCACAGAATGTTACAGAAGACCTGGATAAAGAGCGTCCTATTGAATGCCCTTTAGACCGTGAGGAACTGGGGAGGAGTACTTGGTCTTTTCTACATACAATGGCAGCATATTACCCAGACAAACCCACCAATAATCAACAAGAAGACATGAAGCAGTTCATTTCTTTGTTTTCAAAATTCTTTCCATGTGAAGAATGTGCCGAAGACTTGAGAGACAGGTCAGTGTTACATAATTAATTTTGCATTTTATTTTCGCAGTTATTGGGAGAATCCCTTGACCACCTTTTCCATGCTCATTTCTCTCTGGGCTAATCTGGAATAAAATAGCATTAAAGCTAATTAAAAGGCAAAAGCTAATCTGGTACTGTAACCTCAATCCCAAAGTACTAATGTAAATACTCAAAATAATTTGTGATAACTTGAAATAACTGGGGCAGTGGTTAGCATTGCTGTCTCACAGTGCCAGGGACCCGGGTTCAACTCCACGCAGACAGTCACCCAAGGGTGGAATTTGCATGTTCTTCCCGTGTCTGTGTGGGTTTCCTCTCTGTGCTGTGGTTTCCTCCCACAGTCCAGTGGTATGCAGGTTAGGTGGACTGACCATGCTAAATTGCCTGTAGCGTCCAGGGATGTCTAGGCTAGGTGGATTAACCTTGGGAAATGCAAGGTTACGAGGATAGGGTACGGGTCTGGGGGGGTGCTCTTTAGGTTGGTGTGGATGCAATGGGCTGAATGGCTTGTTTCTACACTGTTGGGATTCTATGAGGTAATCCCTATTTTATTTTGCTATCTGTGTTATTTACTTTATTCTCTCAGCTATTTTATTGGTTTTAACTGCGCAATTTTTGTGAAGCATTTCCTCCCTGTCTTTTTACCTAAGTTTGAAGTAGGCTCATTTGGCTTTTTGTTTATATTTTGTTTCCACTTTCCAATACAATTTAGAAAAATTCACTTCACTAGAACCTGATCCAGTTTATTAAATTGAAAAGCAAACATTTGACAGGATCATTTAGTGAATGTAAATCTCTTGAGCCAAACAATCACTGCCTTGTTTGCTGAGTTCAAGGTGATTAGCCAAAAAATGGGACACTCCTCCGGGATGCGCAGCATTGTTTGCATCTCTTTGCAAGTGTACAAAGGGTTTGTACTGAAGTCCCAGCTGTGCAGTTGGCTGGACAGAGACCACAAGCTGTCTTTAATCAAGGATTACCCTCTCCATGGTAGTTCAAAGCCTGCCATTCAACAAATGTGTTTTGTCAGAAGGAACTTGTTAATATAGAATTGCAGGCTTCCCATGTTCCCAAATACTGGTAGATCTTGTTCAGGGAGGCTACTCCATATGGGGTGTTGAAATGGAAGCTGGACATTGAGGTAGGTTGAACAGGTCACCACAAACGAGCAATTAAGG